GGGGGGGATGCAGTTCCACAAGGACAAGAAGCATGAGGTAATGCAATTTGGTTAGAATAATTAACCAGGCAAATACAAGACAAGGAATGAAAAGAAGGAAAAGTTCTGGAGAAGAATGGCCGAAGGGTGAATGGGATAAAAAAAACCCAACAAACACAAGTCATCTGTGGCAAAGTAAAAAGCAAAGACACTGGGATGTATGAACATGATCATTGTATGTAAAAGAACTGAAGTAACCCCTTATTCTTCTGAGCAAAAGTAAGGCAGCAATGGCAGGTTGAGCATCACCCTTCAACAAGGATGATGGTCTAAACGAGTGCAACAAGAACCACTGCAGACCAAAAATACATGACATAAAAAGAATGGTCAAAGGAACCAGTGTGGTTTAATCTGTATTAGCAGGGAATAAGGGGAGACACGGTAGCAACTTCCAAATGTCCAGCAGGCTCCTGCAATGAAGGAAGGAACTTTTCTACCTGTGCCCAATAAACAGAAAAAGAAGAGCAATCATGAAACCAAACTGAAGGAACAGACATTTCAGCTCAGGTTGTAAGAAAAGTCTAATGACAGGGCTGCTAAATGTCAAACAGATTGTCCAGGGAGCTCCTCTGTCACTGGAGGTTTTTAAGAACAAATACGATAAACATCTGTCAGGAAGGGGTTGGTTATCACTGACCCTGCACAGGGGCAGGAGATGCACTGAACGACCTCTCAAGGTCTCCTCCAGCCCTGTACTGAATAATGGCCAGATACATAAATGAATATAATAGCCGGAAACCTGCTGTGCTGACACAGCCTCTCCCTCTTACTTGTGACCTGTTGTAGTGAGGGCTGTTTGCAACTGACAAGCTGTTGCTGTCAGAGGAAAAAGTGTATCCCAGAGAGGGTCTGACCAGGAAGGACAGGGGTACCACCCAAGGTTATTATTTTGGCACTCTAATGAGCAATGGATGAAGAGCTCCTTGTTAAAAAATTAAAAGTGAGTCAAAGGACAACCCAGTGCAGCCAGCACAGGCTGCCTAGAGGGGTTGGCCACCCTGGTTCAGAAACCAGGCTGCTGGGAGCTGCACTGCACCCTGGTTTCACTTCATGGATGAGAGGCAGCTACAAGCAAAACAACTGCTCAGCAGTAACCACCAGAAAGCAGGTCTCAGAGAGCTCCTCTGCCCCTGCACAACTTGCCACTGTCTAGCATTTCTGGCTGGAAGCTCATACACCACCTGGTTGTGCAAACATTTTGTCCAGTTAAAAAACTCTCTGCAGCAGAAGCTGGTGACCCACCAGTGGTAGCCCTGGGTTACAGGCACCCATCACCCAAACCTCTGCAGGGAGGCAGCTCTGGTGGGATTCAAACCACATTAGCAACATGACAGGGTCATGCAAAGGAGCCCAGGCAGCCACCCATCAGATGCCTGCAGCTGCCAGGAGAAGATGGCACATCCCAGGCACTCCTGCCCTGCTGCCAGGGGAAGGGCTGGGCTGGATGGGCACCTACCCAGGCTCGTGTCACTCTGCCCATCAGAGGCAAAATAACCTTCGCTGTCCCCACAGGCCCCAGCCCTGCTGGCCTTGCACCAGGCACAAGGTGACCATGCACAGTGCCATGGGGCTGCAAAGCCACAGAGTCACATCTTGCACTCAGCAGAAGCTGCTTGACACCTGCAGTGGGGAGAGATGCTTGAACAGGTGAACGGGAGGAAAGAGGGTCAAGGGACCTTTAATGACCTCTCGAATTGCAGGAACTGGAAGGGCTGAGTGACTAGAACAGGATGAGATGCTGCACACCCATCCCTGAGACGTGCACAATTCAGAAGCAACTACCAGGACCGTTCTCCAGGCCAGGACAAACCTGGAGCACTGCTTTAGTGAGAGGCAGGACAGGGAAAAGCAGCTACTCCGTTCTCAGGAAGAAACAGCACTGAGCCCCTCTGCAATACCTGCGTGGGATTCCTCGCAGCCCGGACGGGACGGGGCCCTGCACCCCTGCTTTGCAGCCAACTCCGGGGTGCAAAACCAGCGCCGGTGTTGCTGAAGCCCTCGCACCCGTCCCCAGGCCCCTGGGTCAGCACCGAGCAGCGAGAGGGGAGGGCAGGGCTGCTCGGAGCTCCCCTCGCCCCGCTCTGCACAGAGAGACCCCAGCTCTGGCACCCCCGGCCCCCGCGGTGCCCCGGGGAGGAGGAG